ATCTGCTGGTGGTGCTGTACCAGTTCATGGAGGTGTAGTTTGGGTCCTCGTGCAGTTATTCTTTCCTAAGGGCAAGGGCCCCTGGCTGGATTACATCTTCCGTGATGCATCACAGTCATGTGACTCCCGTAATGCACTGTGTAGCTCAGAGGGGAGACTACAGTGGATTGTGGGAGCCTGGCCCATAATAGAGAATGGGACCATAAAACACCTGGACTACAACTCCCATAAGGCACTGTGGCACTTCAGGCAGATAAAGTTTACTGTCAAACTGACTTGAAACAAAACATTTTTCAGTGCACCAAACCAAAATGTTTCATTTCAGGACAAATTGAGCTGAAACAAAATATTTTGTTTTCATTTGCCATTGGGAAAAATCAAAAAATTTCAGCAAAATTAAAAATTTCAATGTTCAAACACTGCAAAAATTATTTTGATAGAAAATTCCCAACCAGCTCTAATAATCTGAGTAATTTGACTTCTTTCTATCCTCCTCTCCCCATATGGAGGCTCTAGACCAGGGGTGGGCAAACCACGGCCTGTGGGCCGCTTTAAGCTGGCCCGCGAGCTCCTGCTGGGGAGCAGGGTCTGGGGCTTGCCCTGCACCATGCAGCTCAGCCCCCACTCCGGCCAGGGCACCGGGTCGGGGGCCACACACGCGGCTCGGCCCCACTGCAGTGCTCCAGCCAGGGCGCATGGTCGGGGTCGCACCACGCGGCTCCCAGAAGCCATGGTATGGCCCCGCTCTAGCCGGGGCGCAGGGTCGGAGCCCGCTCCACACGGCTCCCAGAAGCCGTGGCATGGCCTTGCTCTGGCTTCTAAGGGCTCTAATGGGATGGTGCCTGCGAATGGGGCAGCGTGCAGAGCCGCCTGGCCGCGCCTTCACGTAGGAGCCGGAGAAGGGACATGCCACTGCTTCTGGGAGCCGCTTGAGATAAGCGCCGCTCAGAGCTTGCACTCCTGAGCCTCTCCCCATGCCCCAACCCCCTACCCCAGCCCTGATCCTCCTCCCGCTCTCCAAACCCCTCGATCCCAGCCCGGAGCACCCTCCTGCACCCCAAACCTCTCATCCCCAGCCCCACCCCAGAGCCTGCACCCCCAGCTGGAACCTGCACCCCTTCCCTCACCCCTGCCCCAGCCTTGATCCCCCTCCCATCCTCTGAACCCCTCAGTTCCAGCCCAGAGCACCCTCCTACACCCCAAACTCCTCATCCCCAGCTCCACCCCAGAGCCCTCAGCCCCAACCCCAATTTTGTGAGCATTCATGGTCCACCATACAATTTCTATTCCCTGATGTGGCCCTCAGCCCAAAAAGTTTGCTCACCCCTGCTCTAGACAATTCCTGTCACTTCTCGGACATTTCTAAAGTTTGGCATTTCCTCTCTGTCCCCACCAGTAAAACACGGATTTACACTATGACACACTCTTACCTGAATTGCCCCATTTTCATTTCCCTGTCTCTCATCCCCAGTCTGTCCAACATGCTGCAGCTAAAATAATTGTCTGAACATGTCACCTGGTTGAAGTTCTTTGTATGTCCCCTGTTTCTTTCTGCAGCCAACCAGTAAGTGTGTTGAATAATCATTATCTTAAGTCTTCCATAATGTCTTGCATCTCAGGTACCAAGATGGGAAAACTCATCCTGGGTAATTGTCTTTGATATTACCTGTACCTCATCCTGGGCAAGACAACAAATGACAAAGTAGAAACCTAAACATGTGTCTTAAGAATTGCGAAGGAAGAATAGGCATTTAATTTTATGAAGTATGACATTCATTTTTCGAAAAACAACAAGGAGTCCGATGGCACCTTAATGACTAACAGATTTATTTGGGCATAAGCTTTCGTGGGTGAAAAACCCACTTCTTCAGATGCATGGAGTGAAAATTACAGATGCAGGCATTATATAATGACACATGAAGAGAAGGGAGTTATCTCACAAGTGGAGAACCAGTGTTGACAGGGCCAATTCAATCAGGGTGGATGTAGTCCACTCCCAATAATAGATGAGGAGGTGTCAATTCCAGGAGAGGCAAAGCTGCTTTTGTAATAAACCAGCCACTCCCAGTTCTGATTCAAGCCCAGATTAATGGTGTTAAATTTGCAAATGATTTTTAGTTCTGCTGTTTCTCTTTGAAGTCTGTTTCTGAAGTTTCTTTGTTCAAGAATAGTGACTTTTAAATCTGTTATAGAATGTCCAGGGAGATTGAAGTGTTCACCTACTGGCTTTAGTATGTTACCATTCCTGATGTCCGATTTGTGTCCATTTATTCTTTTACGTATTCATTTTTGGGTACATGGAACCCTTAGAAGAGCAATAAATTTAATCTGAACTAACAATAGAGTAATGTGCTTGCTGAAATAGTACTGTAGAATCACACTGTAAGGAGGAATTTAAATTAGTATTGCAGCAGCACAGACAAGCACACAAGAGTGAAAAGAAAGGATATTGTAGATGTAGATAAAGATAGCATGGAGTGGTTTGAGCATTGGCCTGCTAAACCCAGGGTTGTGAGTTCAATCCTTGAGGGGGCCACTTAGGGATCTGGGGATTGGTCTTGCTTTGAGCAGGGGTTGGACTAGATGATCTCCTGAGGTCCCTTCCAACCCAGCTATTCTATTCTATTCTATTCTATTCTATTCTATTCTAAGATTTAATTTGGGAATCATGCCACAGCAGAAAGCTGACTGAAAAGTGATACGGTATTTGTGGTGTTACTATAACAGGGAAGAGAAATATAGATGGATGTTTCAAAAATGGAACTAAGTATAGAAATACTCTCTCACACATCCAACTTAACAAAAATGAACTTTCTTGCCATTTAGGAAAATATATGTGGCTTTTTGAGAGACTATTGAAACTAGAAGTCAAGAGGAAAGGAGCAGGCGTAAGAGGAGAGTCTCCAGAGGGGAAGAAAGCAAGCAATTTAAAATAAGCATGTAGAGGAAATATAATTAAACATTAAGACAAATAACGCAAGGAGAAATGCTAAGAGGATAACAGAGATACTATGGTTGACAAAATATAAGGGAAATTCCCATATGTGGCAGAACATTGCAGAGCTAGTCATGATATACTCCAGTAGGCCACATTTTCAAATGTTTACTACAAAAATCTAAGTGCAAACCAAATATCTTCTTGTACAAATCAGATGATAACACACACTTAGCTGGTATAGCCATACTGATGTGAAGTCACTTTAGTGAGCACAGTTTCAGAGTCCATCTCTTCCAAAATTTGGTCCACAAAGTCAGGAGATTTTGTGTATTCAGTAAAGGATACATACTGGTTTACTATTTCGTGTGTGCGCGCGCTCTCTCTCTCTCTCTGTTTCCATTATCATTCTTAGGCTCAAGGTGTGATCTCAGATTCCCTAAGGCATCCTGCAATATTCTTATCTTGCACTATTCATCTGGCCTTTGGCCAGTATTCTCATACAGCCTTACAAATTTTATGCAAGTTGATTGTCATTGTCTTCTAATGAGCTTAGCAGGCATATTGCCACAAAGAGGAGAGGAGCTTTCCCTTTTTTGATCTTACGGTATTTTCAGTCTCAGTCATGATCAGGAGTAATTATTCAGTGGCAGCAAGAAATTCTATCCAGTTTATGAAATTAGATCTCTCGATTGATTGTGGAGATTCAGCATATCCATTTGTCTGATGCGATATCTGGAATTCTTGGCATGCATTATTACCATAGCAGTAGATATAAGTAATACAGTGAACATAATTTACAAGTATCCTCATTTCAGAAATTACAAAGAAATACTCTGTGAGAAAATATAAATATGGATTGTAAAGCAGATTTAAAACAAAAGCTAGAACAATGAAGAGTTCACAATATAGAGAGTAGTAGGTGAAAGTCACAAGTGGCAGAATTAAGGTTTAATTTCCTTTGATTTACCTGGCAAATAAAAGATCTTTAGGAGCCTATAATTGCAGAAGTGGACACATTTTGCTGTTAGTACAGAGTCCCAACGGTACAATATAAACCAGCTTGCAGTGATCAGGATGGATTCATTCTGTGGGTTGATAAAGTGACTCAGTAAGTTCATCATAGAGAAGACAGTGATACTAAGGTCCAGAATACATAAAGTACACCCCCATTTACAAAATGATTTGTCTTTATTCCAAACTTTCCCTCAGAAAGGGGTTTTTTTTTTTAACCAATTAGCAAGCAAGGAATTACTGCTCATCCATTTAATTTATTCACCACAGAGAATTAACTGATGCTTTTATAAACTGCTCTACTACTGTCAGCACTGACCCTGTATTTCATAAATGTTCCTGGAAGAAGGCAGATCAAGAGCTTATCCATTGCCAGTATTCTCACTTTCCCAGCTGATTGTGCAATTCTACTGAGTGATTGTGGTGCTATATTTGAAGCTTTTTCAAAAGTTGAGTAAATCCAGTTATCCCAGAAGCGTGGTGAGCATCAAGTATATAACAGACGCCAAGTTTGTAATGCTGTAGCAAATGGTTTAACCTTTCCTTTCACACTGTTTCTCACTCAGAGAGCCCAACACTGTTTATCTCTGTACCTGATATACTGTTGTACCTAGACTAAAGGAATTAGAATACAAATCAAGGGAAGAAAAGAGAACAATTGCCAATGATTCACGAAAGCTATCCACAAAATATTTTTTCCTGCAAAACATAGTTTTGGAATGTATAAAATATTGAATACGCATCAGACAAAGTTATGCTGACACTACAAGACGACATTGGTACTGATCACATTAGCAGTGCTGCATATGATTGTGGTCAGTTCATCAAAGGAAGTAACACTACTGAAATTAAAAAGATTGAAGCACAAGAATCACCAAAAATACACTGTAGAATTTTGAGAATCAGGCCTCTTATTTATGTGACTAAATATGGACATAGGCAGCTAACTTCAGGCTCCCATTTTTTAAAAATCTTGGCTGTAGGTACCACGCACACATGATTGTTCTGAGTTTGTTCTTTGCTAACCACAAACTTTCTTTTTCCCCACTAGGGCTTATTTCAAAACATTTGTCCCTCAGTTCCAAGAGGCAGCTTTTGCCAATGGAAAGCTGTAGGAAACACCAGGTCTGGAGAAGATGCCAGACAGATTCTTACATCCACATGCATGTCAGCCCCAAGAGGACTTCCTGGAAGTGGGTTGGAATCTCTTTTTTTGATACTTTTTGCCTCTGGAATAGCTTTGATCACCACAGACTTCATTAAGTCTATAAAACAAGGACCTCAGCTGGCTAATTCTAAACTGAATATTTGATACTCCTTCTCCAATCCTCTCCTACCACTATCATTTCCTTTTATAGCCACTGGATTAAATTAAAACCTTAGTGTTTAGATGTGATACCATTTCCCTGTGACAACAATGTTTAATGCTATGCCTTGTTTCAGAAATGCTTGTCTTTCAGGTGTTGTTAAGAAGTGATTGTTTTCATGGCAGTATTCTGTTGTTCTGAACCTTTGTATATTTTCAGCATATCCTAATAATAGATAAAGCTGCCATACTTACCAGAAATGCCTAATGGACTATATAATGCCATATTCTGCCTCTGACATTTGCCTATATTTATGGTTCTTATTGACACATGTATGAGTCGCAATATTTAACTGCTCAGTGCCTTTGATGCGTCTGATGTTGACATGGCAGTATTTTTTTAATATCTCAGTTGAAAACTCATCATGAGTTGAATTCAGTGTCTTTATAGTCTAGTTTATTTCAGGTAATACAACTTAAGGTGACTTTCTAATTGACGTCAGTTGCTGTTACTGAGAAAGGTCTATCGTTTTAGTATCAACTGTTCAAGTAACCAGTTGTGTAAATTAAGGAGACAAAATAGAGCTCCTGCATAGTCCCACAACTCTATCAAGTAACGTAAATACCACTAATGAAACAGGCCTTTAACAAACAAGGAATTACTGGAGTCTTTGAAGGCAACAAATACAATAATTTAGGGAAGCAGATTTATTTAACCTAAAATTTATTTAACCTAAAATGCAGTTTTAGTAAGCACATATATTTAAAGAATTGATGAGAAGACATAATGGGATGCATCAGTTTTTCTAATGCTGTAATGCTAAATGAAGAATCCCAGCCACTCATCTTCCCCTTCTTGTGATATGTTATAGCAGGCCATATATAGCTGACTCTTAGTGCTGTCACTTCCCAAATTAAATTGTAGATAGACCAGGGTACTTTCCAACATGGAATAAAGTTTGTGTGTTGTTATAAATGGAATACAGAAAAAGTACCGTCTGCTAAGTGTTAGGGAACTGGACTGATGAGCTGTTCTGAAGACATAATAGTGAAAAGTAATATATCACTATTTCTGCTAATGTTATGAAATATGTATACAAATTTTAATTGATTGGCAGTATTGCCCCAATCTCCTTGTAACTTTGGATTTTTAGAGAAAAGTATTGTCTACTAGAAGAACTGTGTCTCCAAGGAACAAGTGTGATCCTTGTAAATTAAATTTTCTTAATTAATACATTCTTAGTCTAGTTTCCCTGAGAAACTACCAACCTTCTAGCAAATTCTATTTTTTTTTTTTTTAAATAATCATATACTATCGAAAGTCAAAGTCAGTTAGGAGTTGAAGACCAAGTTGAAGTCAAATCATAGGCCTTATTTAGGGTTACCATATTTAAACATTAAAAAAAGAGGACACTCCACGGGGCCCTGGCCCGCCCCTTCCCCAAAGTCCCCGCCCCAACTCCGCCCCCTCCCCTGAGTGCCCCGCATTTCCCCTCCTCCCTCCCAGCCACGCGAAACAGCTGCCCAAGCGCTACCAGCTTCACGGTTTGCCAGGCAGCCCCCAGACCTCCAGACCCTGTGCCCCCGGCCAGGCGCTTCCCCTCCCAGGCTCCGGCTGCGCTGGGGAAGCCGGTAGTGCTCGGGTAGCTCGGCTCTTCAGCTACACAAAGCTGAGGTGTCTTGGGGGAGCAGCAGCAACCGCTGCCGCCGCCGCAGGAGAATCCACCTGCAGCTCGCAGTCTGCTGGAGCCGCTCTAAGGTAAGCAGGGGACTGGGGCAGGGATGCCGGCAAAACAAAGCTGGGAGTATTTTCCCGGACATGTTCAGCTTTTTGGCAATTCCCCCCGGACGGGGATTTGAGGACCAAAAAGCCGGACATGTCCGGGAAAATCCGGACGTATGGTAACCCTACCTTATTCCAAGTCTAAAGAAAAAGGGGGGGACAGATTTTGTCCCCTTATCCAGTCCTTGGTAACTGTTGCTGAGTCACAAAGGGGCTGTAAACAGCCTTCAAAGGGCTGAGGACAAATTCTCCCAGCACAGGTACTACATTGCACTGCTGTAAACAGAACTGAAGCCCTTTGCTGAGCTAAGCTAAGCAGTGTTGTTTTTAAATACGTCTTTGCTATTCATGCCTCATAACTGTATATGAACAAAATTTACATTAATCTATACAAGACAACCATAAACCTGCACTTCCTGAGGTATAAATCAAAATTGCATACAAATACGCCAAGAATATTTTCATATATGCTGTGGTTGGGAGGGGATATAGAAAGACAGTTATTCTCCTGCTGAAATCCTAGGTCCTGTGCTAGTTTTTTTGCTCCGTCTCTGAAAGGAAATATTTCAAATGTTTCTTTTCTAGTGATGCACAGCTGAAACTAAGTAAGAGTAGCTTGTATACCATTATGTATCTACACTGTATTTATTAACTTAGGAACTCTGTGATGGGGCCGACTTCTTTAAGAAGATTTGGAAGGTTCACTCGAGAATATCTGCTTAGATTTTTGATTGCTCAAGTGGCATCAGTAATATCTCAATTTTTTATCTTATTTACATGTCAGAAATTGTCATGAAGCTACCAAAGGCTGGTAATGGTCCTCAAGCATTTCAATATGACAGTCACCTACACATTTTTAATCAAAATTCTATCCTTAACATCAATACTATGTATTTTGGACATTGGAGCTTGAAATAATATAACATTTAGATTTAAATTTAGATTTAGTCCAAAGCTTAATTTACTTTGGACTACTCTAGTACTGTGGTCTCTGTGCTCCAAAACTCTCCTAAGGCGCCACTCCAACACTATAAAGAACTAACCAATCATTTGATATGTTCAAATTCACTAATATCTAATGACTGTTCAGTGGCTTAGGTGAAATGCATTGATGGTTTCAGTCCAGTTCCTAATTGATCATATGTCCACATGACAAACCACAGATGGCATTATTGTTTGCCATGTATCCAGAGAGTTCATGGATTGAAAGGATGATGGAGATTGAGCTTTATTACCCTAATTTGTAGTCCCTCAAAATCACAATTGAGGTACGTTGTCCTCCGTTGGGAGAAACTTGTACTGCCTGTAGCTTGGCTAAATGGGTAATTTCAGTCTCCAGGTCTAACATTTTGGAATTTTCATTTTTTTTAAAGTACAGTATTCTAATCCTAAATGGTATGAGCATTTGCTTTTCCCCATCTGTAAAATGGAAATAATTATATTAACCTCCTTTGTAAAGCACTGTGAGATCTACTGATGAAGAGCTACGTGGTATCATTCCAGAGCAGTGCTTCTCAAGCTGCGATCCATGAACCACTAACAGTCCATAGAGCCCATCCTGATCATTCACAGAATGATATATTTTGAAAAATAGGCAGTGAGAGAATTGGTGTATTGGGAGAAGCATGAGAGAATTTCTCTCTTATAAATTGGTCTACAGAATGAGAAAATGGAGAGCTTAAGAGAGAGTTTGTTTGACCAGTCTTACATTAACAAGTTACAGATATTTGTTGAGGCAAATGCAATTATGCATGTGGTTATTACCTATTTGCATAGAGTTGAGTGTATATTCTAATTATAACATTCCTTGCAACCAGTTTAATGGGAATGAGACCATCACTCTTTTGTTCTTAATATATGCAGTTAAAAAAAAATACAGAAGCTTGACTCAGTTAACTACAGAACATATGATAAATAACTAAACACCTTGAAATTGTTGTGAATATGTCTAAAGAATTTAAGTTCCACCCCAACATATGCTTCAACTAAGGGAATGCATTTGCTCTTTATTCAATAAGCTTGTGAATTCAGACTTTATCATGGAACTTCCTCAAAATATATTGAATTATGACAACATACAATGAAGCCCTTTTTCTTTATACATCACCCACTCTGCCATGAACTGTACCCACTTATTCAGATCCAAAGTTGGAGTCTCATCTTACGCGCATTTAACATGCGCGAATTCACTTTGCGCGGTCGGCAAAAACAAAAAAGAGAGAAATTTAACAATTTAAATACTGTACCTGTAGTGCGGGTGATTCCGCCCGCCATTACACTCAATGTAATTTTGACTATACGCGATTTTCGTTTTACACGCTGACTGCGGAACGTCACCCCAGCATAAGATGAGACTTGCCTGTAAACTCCTCTGGTAAAGTTATGAAGTAAATGGTTATTCTGGAAGAATAATGAAAAACAGTCATCGCCAAGTATATCTTGACCTTTGATTTTGGAACTTCCTTCCATCCTGCTGGGGCACTGGTTTGGTAGTGAGAGAGTAGCGTCTCACCTGTTGAATCAACAACACAAGTTTCAGCACCATCTGGGGTTTATTTGGCAGTCATCCCATTCAAGTATTGAGTGTGCCTGACGCAATCTAGTTTCTGAGAGCAGACAAAGATCACTGCTGGAGGTAGCATGTATCTCCTATACATTATTAAAACCTTACTAGATAAATTTTCCCATAGGTCTCTCTTGTCCATCCTATCTAGCAACAGCCTTGACTATCAGTGTTCTGGCCCCGACAGTCAGGAAACAAGATCTGTCAATGAACTGCAGCACAAGTTGCTAGATCAGCCCCTGTCCCTCAGACTTCCAAAGCAGGGAAGAGTAAAATAAGAATAAGTAACCTACTTCAAACAGCACTCCCTGAGACAAGTCTGGAGGGGTATGAGAGGGCTGCAAAAAACAGGTTACTGATGAGTAACATTTCCTTCTTATGTGTGTCCCTCTTCTCCCATCTTATCTAACAATAGCTTTCACTAGCAGCAGATGTAACAGGCAATAGAAACCTCATGGTAGAGCAGGAAAGACCACCCTTCCAAATTTGGAATCCACTTCAGACATCAAGTCCAATCAATAGCGGCAAATGAATATGAAAGGGGAGTGCCGGGTGGGCACCTTGCAGATATAGAAGATACCTCAGACTTTCAAGCCTATGAGGAAAGCATGCTGCAGGAAGTTGATAAAATTTGGATGCAGCCTCTGAGCCTGGTTGAAAATTGACAGCATGGAGTCCTTTACCCATTGGGCAAGAGAAGTCTATGACAAAGCAGATGACCAATGAGCAATCAATCTTTCCTTAAATAGCTACTGTCTCTTTAATTAACACACAGTTGCTCCCATTAAATCTAAATGTTATATTATTTAAAGCTTCTTAAAATGCTAGTGAAAGTCCCTTAATTCACCTACTTTTGAGCTTTTGTCTCTGTTCTCTGTAATATTCCAAGGCAGTCTGGCTTTATCCCCGCTCACTAACCAAGCCAGATTAGGAACCAATTTAGCTGAATCCATGTTTAAACATGTTTCCATAACTCTGTTTGAACCCAGTGTGAACAAAGACAATCAGATGTATTACCACTTTATACCACACATCTTTCTATGCACAAATGTGAACTCATATAATTTTGTGAGTACATCTCAGCGGTTCTCAAACTTCATTGCACCGCAATCCCCTTCTGACAACAAAAATTACTACACGACCCCAGGAGGGGGGACTGAAGCCTGAGCCCACCGGAGCCCCGCCGCCCCAGGCAGGGGGGCCAAAGCCAAACCCCATGGGCTTCATCCCCGTGGGAGGGTAGGACCTGTAACCTGAGCCCCGCCTCCCAGGGCTGAAGCCTTCGGCCCCGGGCAGTGGGGCTTGGCCTTTGGCTTTGGCCCCAGGCCTCAGCAAGTCTAACGCCAGCCCTGGTGACCCCATTAAAACAGGGTCATGACTCACTTTGGGGTTCCAACCCATAGTTTGAGAACCGCTAAGCTATTGGTTTCTTGACAGTGAGTTAGAACAAATTTAAGCTCCATGAGATGTGTTAGCAAAGAGACAGCAGTTGTTTCAGTGCATGCAGCTATTTCATAGTCCTGTATTAAATATAGAATAGTGTTCTGTAAAGATGACCAGTCTTTTGCTAGAAGCAGTTCTTACTTGTGAAATTAAGTGTGGTATTTTGCAGGGAAGGATGTTGGTACAGGGAGGTTAACTCCATCATTAACCAGAAACAGGATGGATAATCACCATCATGTCTGCATGTGATCCCACCAATTGTAAGCATGCAGAAATTATAGTCTTCACATGGATATTCCAGTCACTGCTGCCTCTCTAGTTTTCATGCTTTGGTTGTGCCCTAAAATCACCTCTATGTTTGAACTGATTTTTAATGACGTGTGTAGAGCAATATTTGTTTTCAGTCTTGGTGCTGACATCAGATCAGTCTTGCACCAAAGCTTAATTTAAATGGCACCTTAGGATCAGTAGAGGAATAAAGTACGGTGTACTCTCTTGTTCTGAAGAAAGC